TGTACCATGTGTCCTACTGGGTGTGTGGACAGTGGGTTGGTAATGACTGGTGCTGCTACTGTAATGAATAGATCTGGTCTAGTCGTATTAGAGGGAATAGGGACAGTTTTAGAGTGGGAAAATGGCTGCATGGTTTGAGTACAGTATACACGATGGGTTGCTTCTCAAACCTTCTCCTTCCAAATGGAGAAAGACAGAGGGACAGAGAATGTGGTTCACCATAGCGTACGTTCCTATACAGCCAGTCGTACTGCAGCACATCATCTGTTCTTAGAAACAAGAGTGTGTGTGTGTGTATTGTGTGTGTGTGCGTGTGTGTGTGTGTATCTATATGTATGTGTAAGTGAGAGAGACAGTGTGTGTGTGTGTCTCTCTCCCCCTCTGATGGAGGTCTACAGTGTGTGTGTGTCTCTCTCTCCCTCTGATGGAGGTCTACAGTGTGCGTGTGTCTCTCTCCCCCTCTGATGGAGGTCTACAGTGTGTGTGTGTCTCTCTCTCCCTCTGATGGAGGTCTACAGTGTGTGTGTGTCTCTCTCTCCCTCTGATGGAGGTCTACAGTGTGCGTGTGTCTCTCTCCCCCTCTGATGGAGGTCTACAGTGTGCGTGTGTCTCTCTCTCCCTCTGATGGAGGTCTACAGTGTGTGTGTGTGTGTCTCTCTCCCCCTCTGATGGAGGTCTACAGTGTGCGTGTGTCTCTCTCTCCCTCTGATGGAGGTCTACAGCGTGTGTGTGTCTGTGTGTGACAGGGAACCCCGTGTGCGTGTGTCACCGATCCCATTCCCCTGAGCTGAGTCATCAATTCACGTAATTGGTTCCCGTCTGCTGATTAATCAACTGCTCCATTAATGATTGGATCAATCAATAATGGGATTGTTAGGTGTCTCTGGTGTGTGTGCGTGCGTGTTTTTGTGTGTGTATATTGTTAATATCATAACTGTGTGTTTCTTCATCTAGTAAGAGTCTCATACTTCCAAATGCACAGACATCATATTCATATCTTCAGAGACATTTTTTATTTCTCTCTTGTTTCTATGGCGACTGTAGAGATTCCGCCAAAGAGAAAACAACACTAGGCCTACACCATTTCACTACCTATCGGTGTATGTTTTGTTGTTGCTGTAGGCGATCATGTTATTCAGAAGGTCCATGGGCTATTTTTCCTCGACAGTACGTTGTTTAATCAGAAGCAGTTCATTGACAGCTCCTTTAACTGTAATGGCATCCTAAGTGTTCACGGTGTTGGTGTATGGTGTTCTCTCCAAGGGACCGTGCACATTTCCATCACATGAATAATGAATCCCGTTAAAGGCCATATTCATACACTCCCTGAATGTGTGAGAGAGTGAGAGAGTGTGTGTATGTGTGTGTGAATGGTGTGACTTGTCCTGATGAACTGTGTGTGAAAGACGGATGGCCGACTGAAAACTTCTTATCACATCTTCTATTAATCTCTCTTCTCTTCTCACCCACACAGCCTCTCTCTCTCGCTCGCTCTCTCTCAGCCTCTCTGTCTTTCTCTCTCTGCCTCTCTCTCTCTGTCTCTCTCTCTCTCAGCCTCTCTCTCTCTGTCTCTCTCTCTCTGCCTCTCTCTCTGTCTCTCTCTCTCTCTCTCTCTCTCAGCTCTCTCTCTCTGCTCTCTCTTCTTCTCTGCCTCGTCTCTCTCTCTGTCTCTCTCTCTCTGCTCCTCCTCCTCTCATCTCTCTGTCTCTTCTCACCGATTCTCTCTCTCTCTTGTCTCTCTCCTCTCTGTCTCTCTCTCTCCAGCCTCTCTCCTCTCCTCTCTCCTGTCCTCCTCTCTCTCAGCCCTCTCTCTCTCCTCTCCTCTCTGTCTCCTCTCCTCTTCCTCTTTCTCTCTCGCGCCCTCAGCCTCCTCATCCCTGTCCTCTCTCCCCTCTCTCTCTGTCTCTCTCTCTCAGCCTATCTCTCTCTCTCTTTCTCTCTGCCCCTCTCTCTCGCTCTTTCTCTCGCTCTCTGCCTCTCAATTCAATTCCATTTAAGGGGCTTTATTGGCATGGGAAACATATCTTTACATTGCCAAAGCAAGTGAAATAGACAATAAACAAAAGTGAAATAAACAATAAAAATGAACAGTAAACATTACACTCACAAGTTTCAAAGACACATTTCAAATTTCATATTATGGCTATGTACAGTGTTATAATGATATGCAAATAGTTAAAGTACAAAAGTGAAAATAAATAAACATAAATATAGGTTGTATTTACAATGGTGTTTGTTCTTCACTGGTTGCCCTTTTCTTGTGGCAACAGGTCACAAATCTTGCTGCTGTGATGGCACACTGTGGTATTTCACCCAATAGATATGGGAGTTATTTGTGGGTCTGTGTAATCTGAGGTAAATGTGTATTTGTATTTATTATGGATCCCCATTAGCTGCTGTGTCTCTAATATAATAATAATAATAATATGCCATTTAGCAGACGCTTTTATCCAAAGCGACTTACAGTCATGCGTGCATACATTTTTGTGTATGGGTGGTCCCGGGGATCGAACCCACTACCTTGGCGTTACAAGCGCCGTGCTCTACCAGCTGAGCTACAGAGGACCACAAATATGGTCATACATTTGGCAGGAGGTTAGGAAGTGCAGCTGAGTTTCCACCTCATTTTGTGGTCAGTGTTCACATAGCCTGTCTTCTCTCTCTCTCTCTCTCGCTCCCTCTCTAGCAATCGCTCTTCTTCTTCATTAGGCAGCTGAGCTCAACCATCCTCTCTCACTCTCGCTCGCACGCACGCGCGCGCGCACACACACACACACACACACACACACACACACACACACACACTCTGCTCTCACAATCTCCCCCTCTCATTCTCAATTCCTCATCCCCCCCTCTCTCTGACGTTGAGAGAGACTGCGATCCCGTGAGAGTGTGTGTTTGGTTCGGAAGGGAATGGAATGCGCTCCGCGAGAGGGTGTCACTCACATAATGTGACAGGGAAGAGAGCGACGGTTCGTTTCGGTTTGGGGGGGTACAGAACACCGGAAAGCCAATGCAAGCGCGCACTGTCGCCTAGGCTACCGTCCTTGCCGTTGTCTAGCCTACTGAATGAATGATTGAAGCTGAAGATTCCCAACGGTTTTCCCCCCCGGAGAAAACACGTTCCTATCGGAAAACTGACAGCAACGTACGAGAAAAATAAACAATATTAGTTTTTCTCTCTTCCATCCTTCTTTCAGTCTCTGAGGCTGTGTCAGAACTGAGCTGTCTGTCATTGAGAAGAAGCTGATATATGAAAATCAGCGCTGGTGATTCTAACGTCTTGTCAGAAGTTGACAAGACAGAGGACAAGGACATTGAATGACACAAAGCTAAAACCAATGTCTGTCTGCCTAAAGTAACGTTACACAACGAAGCAGCTCGTGAAGCCTGAGACCGGAATCCTCATCGCCACGAGACCTGCCGTGACCAGCGGATCACAGGTGCAGCACTCGCACACCGTAGAGAAACGAGACGTCGCTGGAGGAATACGGTTTCAAGTGAGTCACGGGTTATAAGCTCCTAACCCCGCCGTTGGTTTACGGTTATTGTTCCGTTATTATCCCTGTACGGTAGACCCGGGATGTGATTAGGGTCAGGCACCACGAGGTGATGAATACCTAGACTACACACCGGGACCCGTTAACGGCCAGGGTGCGCATGCAGGGGGGCTACGTAATATTGTTGGTGTGTGAGACACGTCAGTTCGTTAATTGATTAATACTAATTATTGAAATACGACAAGATCTGTTAATATGATGATGGTAACACACATACACACACACACACACACACACGCACACACACAATGATGGTTGATATAGGCTACAAATAATTAACAAAGATATGGCGTGTGATAAATTATTTACGGATCAAGCTGTCATGATCTATACTAGGCTTAGCCTATTCTAATTTGCATAATACAAACAAACATGATCAGTTAAATGGATCAGCATCATATATTTGTAGGTGCTTGCTTATATTTAGAAATAGGCTATAGCTTTTTTTTTCTGCTGGTTTGTTAGCCTAGAGAAATAGGCTACATAGCCTGCAGTTGACAAATGCAGGTAGGCCTATATTGTTGTAGGCCATATGAAAATAGCCAATATCAATTTATTAGTTAACAACATAAGTGCCTTCGATTAAAAATAAATGACACGCACAGTGATAGTTTTCTTTGCTGGTTTGTCATAGTAAAATAAATACAACTGCAGGTAGATGGAAATACGCAATAATTGATTAAACGAATTGTTTAACATTGTTTTGTTTTTTATTATCGTTTTTTTTCTCCAAATGCTCAACGCGCCAATGGGATTCTCATTGTAGTCTAAATATCTGCCTGCTAATATCTGACTGTCAACAATGGCACCAGACTGTAGACCGGGGGACGAATCAGTAACCTACATTTCCCGTCTATATTTGGCGCTAATCTGGTTATTTCGGTTTACCGGGAGAACACCTTCACAGCAACCCCTTAGCCCTTAACACCCGGGCTTTCCCCTTGTTTACCGAGTAGGGCCTACCGAAAGTGTTTACCGGTTGGTAGTCTCCTGAGTGGCGCAGTGGTCTAAAGCTGTGCCACTGTGCCGCTAGAGATCCTGGTTCGAATCCAGGCTCTGTCGCAGCCGGCCGCGACCGGGAGACTCATGGGCGGCGCACAATTGGCCCAGCGTCGTCCAGGGTAGGGGAGGGAATGGCCGGCAGGGATGTAGCTCAGTTGATAGCTACATCCCTGCCGGCCCTTCCCTCCCCTCCTCTCTTCACCCTAGTTACCCAGGGTG